GGGGGGATGACACAATGGTACCCATGTTCCCCCGTAGCACCTGCCTGACATTTGCACGCAGGACCTGAGCTCCAAAGGAAGAGACTGATTTCAACTGAATTCTCCCATTGGGTGGATTCTCTCAGGACAGGCTGCTGTAGGGGAGAAGACACAAGTCTCCAGTCATCCTCCCTGGCAGTGTGATCAGGGCTGCCCAGCACGTGAACTCCCCGTAATGTGCCTTGTCCTTCAAAGCACCCATTCACCCTCAGAGGATGTGCATTCACCCAGACAGAGGCAAACTACGCGAGGATTCCCCACCACTGAACCCATTGTTTTAGATATCGTATGTGCTGAGAGCCCAAAAGCCCTGTAGAAAGTTCTTTAAGTGCTGCACCCCAGAGGATCAAGATACAACTGAATGCCACTAAAGGACATTTTGAACTTCAGTCTAAAACCTGCTGCTGGGTGATAAAGGCCAACGTGTAAACTGATTAAGAGCAAGAGGTGGCCTGAGAATGGTCCCTGTGCCTGTTCCCATGAGGCCATGAGGGAGGCAGGAATCCCAACTATGGGAGCAAACATAACACATCAGCACATGTCCAAACCCCACCTGCCATCGACCCCGGTGAAGTTAGCAAGCAGCCCCGAGCAAGAATAGCAGGCCCCTGGCTCCCCCGTAGCCAAGCCTAGCTTCCCATTAAAAGGCAGTTGTGCTCCCTGGGATAACGCAGCTGACCTCTTCAGTGCTGGTTAGAATCCACTCTAATGGCACAATTAGTCACCCACTTGTCAAGCAAAGCGCCTGCTCAGAGGGGCTCTGGCACACTTACTCAGCAGAGAGAAATGCCTCTGAGCCCAGCCGGCCTCCTGCCCCCATCCCCCACAGGGCTTATCTGCAGCATGAACCACTGTGTGGGCACAGGACAGAGGGGCATCCACAGACACGCTGACCACGCGCCAAAGCAGTGTGCCCACGGTTTCTCCTGCCGTGGCTCTCCTCCCTTCCAAGAGGAGCTCAGGAGGGAGAACAAGGCATTAACACTGGACTTGAGACCGAGGTGGTGGCCAGGACTCGCTGAGTGGTGAAGTGCTGGGGACACGGGCAAGCAGGAGTCCAATCTAAAGAGACTCCCAGAAAGAGTGTATGGGGGTGGCGGGATAAGGGGTGACTGACATCCAACTCCTCTCTCGATATCCTGAAGCAAGACGGTGTGGTCAGCGCGGAGGGGAGGGACAGCATGAGGGGACTGGGACAGAGGCTGGGAGGGAGGGCAGGTTTGGGGGTGCTCAGCTGGCTCCAAGAGGGCTTTATCCTGCGTCCAAACAGGCCAGGCCTATCTGCCACCCAGGGGTGGGGTGGGTGGCGGGAGATGTGCCAAAGCCACGTGCAGCTGGAAAACGATAATAAAAGTGATCGCCATGATCCGGCGCCTTTTCTTTCTGAACCATCCTGTGGCTTCACAAAATGCCACAACATTGACTGTGGATTCTGGATTCTGGATTTCAAACTGGCTTAAAAATAAAAGGCAGCTTTGGTTCCTCGTCCCCTCCATCCCCCAAAGTACCCTTTTTTCAATATCAAGGCAACTCTCAATGCAGGCCTTGAAACAAGCTACATGCACGTGGATTTGGGAACTGGTGGGCGGGAGGGGTCAGGGGCGAGTGCGGAGCAAAATTCCAAGCCCTGGTCATGAGGCCTGGGAGCCACGCAGCTGCGGAGCATCGCCCTGGGCAAAGAGGGGCGAGAAAGCAGAACACCGAACTCCAACAGGCCCGTCTCCCAGCGACACTTTCTGGGGGAGGATGGCGAGTTTGCGGGACCTTCATTTCCTGCCGACTGCGGGCTCTGCCCTTCCCGGGGGCAGCCTGGCCTAGAGGCTCGCGGCTCGCTTTCCCGGACTCCGCGGGGACGATGGGGGGCCGGGGCCACCCAGGGAGTCGGAGCGGGGTGGGGAGGGCGCGGAAGGCCCCGGTGCTTACCTGCCTCGCCTCTGCCGGCTGCTCCTCCGCCTCGGCCGGCACCGCCGCGGGCTCCCCCGGCCCCTCGGGCTCCCCCGGGCCCGCGGGCTCCTCGGGCTCCCCGGGCCCCGCGGGCGCGGCCGCCGACTCCGGGGCGCGGGGGCTGGGCGGCGCGGGGGCCCCGCTGGCCTGGGCCGGGGGCGCGGGCTCCGGGGGCGCGCTGGCGGGGCCCGGGCTCGCGGCCGCCCCTCGCCGCACCAGCAGCCAGGCGAACAGCAGCGCCAGCGCGGTGGCCAGCGCGGGTAGCGCGGCCAGCAGCTCGGCCGGCGCCTCCATCCCGCCGCGGCCGCCGAGTGCCGGCCAGCCGGGACCCCGAGGGAGCCGGCCGCGCCCCGCCGCCGCGCCCCGCCCCGGGGCGGAGCCCCCGCTGCGTCCCGCCCCGGCCCTCGGCGCGGTGGGGGGGGGGTGACTCAAGGCGAGGCGGCGGGTGGGGACAAGAGCCCTGACCCCTTGGGACGCGGAGGCCGACCCCTGTCTGGCCCGGGCAGGCCTGACGCTTTGGGGCACAATTTAACTATCTGAGCTTAGACTCGGTTTGAAAACCGGTTTGAAACACTAATTACTCAGACGCCCTTAGGTCGTCATCTCTCCGCATCATTTTAGCCCAGCACTGAAGTTCATCTTAGCGCTTTTTGGAAACCGTAAGCTGGGGAATGCCGAGACAAGTACACCCGAGGGTTCACGGAAACTGCAGCACAGATTGCCTTGCAAGACAACGCAAACAATTCATAAAGCCTGATTACGTTCAGCCATTGCCATTTCTATAAGCAGGTCAATAGCTTTTATTCCTTCCGGTTGCCTTAACGCATTTTCACAGAGGACGTCTCCAGATCCCGCGGGAGGGGGCGGTGGTGAATGCCAGCCCTGTTGGCCTGATGGCCTGGCCTTGCCTGGCTGCGCCCACCCCCAAGACCCGTTTCTGTAATTCAGCTCCAGGCCCTTTGGGTCAACACTATTTCCCCAGCTGGCTTTTCTTCTTTGCACAATTACGGAATGTATGCAGGGTGGGAGGGTGGAATGAGGGAAAGGAAGGAAGGCTACTGTTTCTGTTTCTCCAGATCCTTCCAAGGCTCTGTTGCTCAACTGTGTATGTTTGAGATAAATACATTGTCACCAAAAGCATATTCCCTACCACTCCCCACACCCCTATTTAGTTATTTCAAATAAATACAGGGTGGGCAAAGTTTGTCAGGTACCATGCCAAGCATAGGCCTAATGTTAAGAAAAACAGGGTTCCAGTTTTTGCTTAGGATGCATTTAATACTTTTTGAGGAAAATTACAGTGCCTAAGCCAATCTCCGATGTCATGCTGGATGGGAGAGCTTCTTTTTAACGGGGAGATACACGTAGGCGCTCCAGCTTCCTCGTGAGCTCGTTGTGACAATTAGGATTCCCAGCAACAGGAAGAGCTTAATCCTGCTGCATCACATATTAAGTGGGGGTGGGGTGGGGTGGGGTGGGGAGAAACGCCTTTCTTTTTGGTGGTGGTTGATGAAAAAGGGCCTCAAATTGTAACATGTGGAATAGGGTTTATCTATAGGCTACTGGCTATTGACCAGCATGTGACGTTCTGCCAGCATTTGGGCCTTACTTTTGTTCCTGTCCCCATTGTTTTAAAGTACATTTTTAAAAGGTCTTGTTCTGCTGACAAAATACATTCTATTGACTTTCAAATGCGTAAGAATGAAAAGAAACAAAGACAAAACCATGCAAAAACACAACTCCAAATCAAGTTGCTTTATTTAAAATGAACAAATTTCATCCAAGTGAAAGTTAAAAATACCAATCCAATGGCAGACCCACCCCACAGCTAGACGCACACAGAATGGACGCAGAACTAGGAGACTGCTCCGAGTTCTGTTTGACAACTACAGGAGGCACGAGTGCTCAGAAGACAGTCCCAGTTCTGTCCTGTCCAGTCACGGTGGAGACAGCAGGCCAGGGCTAGTTCTCCTCCAGGGAGATTCAGTGGAGGCTAGATAAGTCAAGTTTTTAACTAACAATGAGACGAAGTTGAGAGCCACCACCTAGGGACACACATTCACCTAGTTTTACCTTATACAATGTAACATCAACGTCACATCTTGACAAAAGCAAGGGGTGGAGGAGTACAGAACAAACCAGACTCTACCTTGAACCCATTGGCATTATCAGCACGCATATCAAAACAGCTTATTTGTGGAAATACTACACACAATCTAAAGGAACTAGCTGCAGAGTCCTTACATGCTGCCTCCTAGACAGCACTTTCTACACTTACGTAAAACTCCTGTTCCATCTCATCCTGTGTCTAAAGTCCTAAATCTAAGGCTGAGACTTTAGTTTACAGTTTGTAAAGCATCTGCACCAGCAACTTCCCACTGATTCTTAAATACCTAAGTCATGTACTAATTTACACATACAGCTATAACGTTAACTATGTTCTTTCATGAAGCTCTAATAAACCTGCATTTAGTCAGGTCTGTACTTCCCTTTCTGGTTGTGGAAACGCATGTCCCTGTTTACAGTGGCTCTCCCCTCAAGGTGTCACCCCAAACACCCCAGCAATGCAACTGCAGAGGCACCTGGCGCAGCACTCCACTCTGCAGGCTGATGGTGAGGCCTCACTCCCAAAGACTCAGGGCCCTCCTGATGTCTTGGGTCCCCCACTTACGTCTCTCCCACCCTTCTCCTATCTGAAGTTTCTGGTCTAAGATCCCTTCTCCCAGGATCCAGCTCTTTGGTTTTAGGATTTGCTGTCCTCTTGGAGAATAATCCCTGAAGAGTCTGATGCTGTGACCTTCACTTTACCACTTCACCATTGTTGACAACACTCAAAGGAGCAGCTCGTGCCAGGCAGGAGGAAGGGTCACCTGCTGGACAAGTGGACCTACCCTAATCCGATCTCCAGGCCACCACCCACTCCTTCCTCACCTACGGCTTCCCCACCTCCTTCCTGTTTGTTTCCAAATGGAAGGCTTGGCTGGCACACAGTGTGTGTAGGGGGTGTAGTCAGAACAGATAAGGCATGTTTCACCGTTATTTATGGGGTCGCAACAGCCAAACAGTAGCACATAATCTGTCCTGTCCAGATGCTTTGAGGAGAGATGGCTCTGGGGCCTGTCGGATGGGCTAGATCCCTTACTTCTGGGTACTGTTTATCAAACAGGAATCATGTTTCGCATCTAGAGAAGGAAAAGTGGGTGTGCAACCTTCAAAATTCTAATTTCTCCTAGACCGTCCAGGCCACCAGCAATGTATCCCACCACGCCCCCTGGTGGCAATGAGCCTTTTTGGGCTGTTCTGTTTTAAACTGAAGTTTAGAGAGGAGCAGCTGGTAGGCAATTGAGAGGAAGGTAAGGAAAGAGGTCAAGCGTGATCGCCCAGTAGCAATCCTGGGAAAAAGGAAACAGCTTTTTGAAGATGGCAAGAAAAGCCTTTTAAAAACAGAAGGAGGAACACCATTCAGATATCACTACCAAGAGATTATACTGTACTTACACCCAAACACATACTGGGCCCACCACAGAACCAGAGGGAGCCCGAGGGAGGGAGAAGGGACAGCAGCAGCCCCAGGCAGAGCGAGGGGCGCTGCCCTGAGGAGGCTGCAGAAGTTCCCCTACCGGCCCAGCCACACATTTGGGGTGGTACTGGGTTGGATGCAGAAAACTGAACTAAGACAAAATAGAGAATCAGCCTCCTAGAGTAAAGCCATACAACCCAGCGCTAGGAAATGATAATCAGTCCGTCAGCAACTTAATACTGGGCGGAGACCTGGATTCCCCTGATGATACCTGTTTCTAGGAGGTATTTTAGGGGTAACATCATGCAATTCTAACACGTCCACACTTGCTGTTCCCTCCTCTGGAACACTACTGTGAGAGAGTTCCGTCCCCTACCTGGCTGCCTGCCTTTACTCATACTCCATCCCAGACAGTGCTTTGGACTGGGCGTGACCCTTAACAATCTCCCCCTTATTTTTTATTTAAATTTAGTTGAATTTAGGGATGGATTAAGGCAAGCAGGTGAATCAAGAAGACAAGAGATAGAACTTGCTGGTCAATCCCCAAATATTCATACCACTTAGAGGTATCATCAGAGTCCGAAGACTTCTTAGAAATGCCATCTCTGAATTTATTCCCTGCGTGTAACACAAGCCCCCCACTTAGCGCCTGCAGGTCAGACAAGCGGGGAACGCCAATCACAAGGTACCTTGCAAAGTGAGAGCTGCTTACGGATCGCGCGGTGGGAAAGAATGGAGCCAATCTGCTAGAACTTGGCCCTATTCACAATTTAAGTTCTGTGGTAGGAACACATTAAACACCTTTCCCACGCTGTAGGTAAACAAAAAACCTCCAGGATCCTCCCTGCCCCCAAATAAGCCACACAAAAATAACCCTGACATTCCATAGCCTCCCTGATTGAGGGGAGAAGATAAGTAACCCTAAGACAGCACTTGGCAGTGGGCGACGGTGCTGGGTCACTGCCACAGAATGCGTTTTTGGACTACAGGTGACACACAGGAAGGTGGCACTTACAGTATTTCTGACGCGTCACAGGTTCACACACAGATCAAAGTCCTCTCACCACTCTGCGTCTCTGCTTGCACGCGCCGGCTCTGTGGACAGCGGGAGCTCCTTACCAACATCAGCGAGGCAACAGATGCAAGATGTTGACAGGATCAGACCCTCCAGCCTTGAGGTCCACCAGCATGGTTTTCAGTGACACAGCACAGAACCTTCTTACCAACATCACGTTAGCGCCAGTGTTTCACTGAGCTGGCCAGGCTTTTAAACTTCTTGATAATCTAGTCTTAGTAAGCAGAAAAACAGCATTTGACCGAAGATGGGAACTCGAAGCAGGGGAGGAATATCCAAATTCAAAGAAGACAGAGGAGAAGGTGGGAGCAGAAGACGTGAGAACTGAGTTGGGCGGCTGCCACCAGCTTACGCTGAAGCCACCTCAGGGAGAGTCTCTTTATTTGCTCAGGGGTGAGCCCGGCCTCCACAAGTGTCCCTAATCCTGCCAAGGAAAGTACAACTGCCTGTAATGAGCATGTAGACAGCATAGCTGGGTGCAAAGCTAGAAGGCAATGTTAAAAACAGGACCCCCAGGACCTCCATGTTGAAGTAATGGCAGGGCTTTCTCTAAAAAATTTTTCTTATAAATTACACAGTGACACATTAAGCACAGATATAGGTCTGTAATAATAGAAACAACTGGAAAAGGCAAGAAGAGAACTCTACGTATGGCTGTGAAGAGGACAACGAAGGTTGAGAAATGTATATTCTAGTCTG